ATTGCTCTATATAATGCACACATACATATAATCTCTTTTTCTGTCGATCGATAAAGTTATAAGCAACGATGGATGGTAGCCAGCAGTGGAATCCACAAAGCAAGTTTCGTCTTCTTGTGGAGTCGACAGCTGGGTGCACCTGAATCCCAGAGTTGATGTTCACCCCGGGACTCGAACCCAGTACTGTTCCCTCCAAACTCCATTACGTTATCCGTTTAGCTACTGAGTCGAGACAGCCACTAACTTGTGCAATGGGGTGAAGTTTAAATTCCCTTTGTATTGTTTGTTTGAATCTTCCCATTGATGTTTAGGACTGTAATTGATCAGTCTCTTATTGGCATACGTGCATTCTATACGGATTGCATCGATATTGCTTTTATTCACAAGCGTTATAAGCAAAGATAGATGGCGGCTAGCAGTGGAATCCAGGACGCGTGTTTCGTCCTATTTGGAGCTCGTCAGCTGCAAATATTAATTGCATTCCTAAACATCATTAAGGAGATTCAAACAAGCAATACAAAATGATTGATAGTTACTTGTTAACGCTTTACCCTTAATGTAACAGCTTGATTGTTTTTTCTTTATATTTACCGATTATTTCAACTGATGTCGATCGATTTTAAACGTGTTTAACCTGACCTTAATAATTAAAGGGTTTATCTTTTTTTCAAAGGTCAATTGATTCTATCTCTAGTGAGAAAAATAAGTAGGATTCTCAAAATGTTCATCATAGGTCGATTTATCTCGGGTTTATTTTTTAGATTTAAATGTTAACCTGTTTCACACATACTTATAATTAAAATCAGCATGATTAGTAGGAGGAGTACCCTAGTTATTCATTAATTGGCAATGGACATCTTTTTTGAACATACTTTTTTCATTTGACACCATTTATTTACACCATTGAATTCGATGTTTTATAGGATTCTAGTGCATATCCCCTCACTATCCCGGATGATTAGTGTTTTGTTAATGTTAAGGTCGTTTAAATTCAATTATAGGAAATCGTGAACTACATTTTTCCACTAATAATATATGCTCATCATCAAAGCTTTTATTTGGGATGCTGCAGATAATCAGTTTAAGATTATGGAACATCTGTTTCACCCAGGATCATAGTCATTGATGTCGTTCTCACTGAGCTACTTTACAATCGTGATTAATCTCTTGTAGATGGTTAAAGATATCAATCGATCCTGGACCTCTGCCAAAGTCTAGTTTTTACTGCTTGATAGAAAGCAATATAAATTGGTGTTATGCTTAAATTGACATACTATTGAATTATTATAAGTAGCTATGTACCAATCAGAATTAAATTTTAGTCAAGTAGATCTTGGTAACTTAAATGTATGACTGTGAAATTTAAGTCCATTGTTCAACTTAACACTTGTGTGTTTTAACAAACTCAACTTGAACATTATTTATATAAATAAGGCCTGGACTATGATCTGTTTCATATCATTGATGTTTATCTGGTTGGTTACTCTATTAACCGTATCGGAGATGAAAACTAGGATTGTCACTTCTCTTATCAAATCAATCATAATCAGTGTAAGGCCTGGTATAAATGGACATCCGTATAAGTTACAATGTTGTTACACTTAGATCAGTCAATTAGTTGGAAGCCGATGCTCGAAATTTCCAACTTAAGTCAATTTATAGTATAGCACAGTAATTGCTCAATGTCATCGGTGATGTTTATCTCACTTTCAATATTATTGTTCATCACGATTCACAGCTTCTTATAAGACATTTTATTTCGTTTTGAGACTGATTTTAACCTAGGTTACTGTTTTTCAACAGTAAAACAACGGCTCTTAACTGATTAAATAACTAAGTTCACAATAATCTTGTCACAGATTTTCAAAATCTCTACGCTAATTCAATTTGAGCAGTTAATTAATATTACAAACTCTCAAGGTAATAATATAATTTACTGACGAATAATCAAGATTCAAGATAGAAGAGTTCAAGACACAATGACAGATAGCTTGTAGCTTATTAAGACTTAAGTAGGAACTAAGTAGAACCTACCAATATTCTGCTACTAAGATGCTCAACATTAATGCATATTGCAGTACTAAAAATTAGGAAAGAGCTTAAGCGATTCTTAGGTTGGTGTTGAGACCGTGAGGATATTTTAAATGGAAAAAAATAGTACAAAACAAGTAGGATTTAAGTGTAAATAATAGTTTAACATAATTTATGCGTTTTTCAAGGTAATTTTAAGGTTCTTGATATTTTTAATCATAGAAAAGACTACATAAGCATTCATCGATACATCTGCATAGCATTCTTCCTTTATATTCTTAACCATTATAATTAACTCTTAACTTCAAGCCCCATCCTAAACTCCTAACTCTTAAGAGTTAATCCTAGGATCCTAAGGCTGAAACTATTTTTTTTTCTTAAACACTTGTATTTCTCACGAGGTTATGTTTTCCTCTTGACCTGTAACACTTTGTATTACTGATGAAAAACAGTTGATGTAGAAATCAATATTTCAGGTCACTACTTGATGAAGTAGAAATTTTTATACTCCGAATTTTAGTTCATTGTGGTATATTGTCAGAATAACTTTATTATGGAATTTATTTTATTGCCAAACCAATTAGCACAAACCATTTAATTACCTTGAATTCAATAAAAAAACGAATTGGATTATACCATTATTGGTATTTTTGATTGAAAGTTGATCAATCTTGGTTGCACGTATATGCATTCTGTGGGGATTGCCTTGATATAACCACTATGACATAAATTAAATGTAATATGGCTAGCAGCATAATCCAGGATGCGCGTTTCGTCATATTTTGAACTCGTCAGCTGTGTGTAGCTGTATCCCAAAGTTGATGTTCATTAAGGGACATCAACTCTGAGATGCAGATACATACAGCTGACGAGTTGGAAATAAGATGAAACGCTCGTTTTGATTTCTACTACTAAACGCATATCAATCGTCTAAATGACCTAGTCATTTTACTTACATATTGCTTAAAGTTATATATGTATGCCAAGAGTAATCTTTTTGCTACCTTTTAGTAGCATCATCATCGTTTCTCAGTGAGATATAAGGTTTTTGAAGTAGTTGTTTATATGTTTTGCCGATTCATTTATTATCAATGCAAGTTCATTCCAGCTGTTGTATTAAATTCACTTCAACTATTTTTCAAGTAAAATTATTTATCGACAACAGGTTTATTTATTCGACTTTAATGTCATATTGTGTATAGTGTGTGTGTGTGTGTGTGTGTGTGTGTGTGTGTGTGACTGAAACAATCTGGTTACTATAAACAAGCTACTTAAATGAAATGATTAAAATCTGTTTCAATCTTTCAACTTGATTCTATTCTATTTCTCTTCGATGTTTGTATTTGAATAGGCAATCAACAACAACAACAACAAAAAAAGAAATAAAAAACAAAACTAAACTAAACAATATTGATGTAGAATTATCTGAATTTTATCTTCTCATCACCTTTATTACCCTCACTTTTTCCTCTTTTCACATTCATATATTGTCAACGTTTTATTACAATGAATATTCTCTCGCTACATTATCTTTATTATTGATTGATTGATTAATTAGTTAGTTAGTTAGTTAGTTAGTTACATTGAATGGTTTATTTGTTTATTGATACGTGACAGGAAGGAGAATACTTTGACTAATCTATAATTTGTAGTATGAATATTTGTATATTTGTTGTTCATAAAATGAATTCACAAATTAGTTTTTGTTGTTGTTGTTGTTGTTGTTGTTGTTCTTGTCTGTTTTCCTTTCGCGAAACTGTTTTACCATACATGAATAAATGAATAATCAATATGGTTTTGTATAAATGTATGTGTTTTTCAATCAGTAACAAATGCCCTGTTAAGGTTAAGTATGAAGAGAGTCAGCTCTCCTCTAAACGCTCTCACATAGCCACACGTATACAGCCACTTTCAGGGAATTCTTACACTCGGCCTTCTCTCAACGGGGGTGTTGTTTACGAAGTTGAGAGGATGAAAAACGAATGTCTTGCGCTTTGGCCAGGTTGGTGTACACGGAGGATCCACTTAGGGAGGTTGGAAAACTCTGATTCCAAACCAATGGTGCACATGGGCTCCAGGATCCTGAGATAATGAATGATGTATAAACGTGTTATTGGTTACCGGCTACCATTGGGACTGTTGATTAGACCTCTAGGTCAAAGGTTCAAGGATTGTCCTTCTAAATAAACCACCTGCTTCTGTTTGGGGGCCCGGGAAGTATCCCAGCCCTTGCGAAAATCAAATGATTTTTATAGTGCACATATATTCGGCACCTTCTTGTACCAACCTTTACATGTTTAAATAAATAATAAACTGAATAGCAACTGAGCTGTTCTTTGATATGTCGTTTAAAACCCTCTTGGGGGTTACTAATCATTAGCTTTTTATGCTTGCTAGAAGTTTGTCAGTATTGTGTATTCATTACTCATTCTTCTCTCTATTTCTCTACTCGAAAGAAAACTTCAGAGGTTAAGGTGTTCGATTTTCAGTTATTAAGTCCCATGTTCAAGCCTTATTATACCTTCTTTGGTTTCGGTGACTTAGGTAGCTTCATTATCCACCACACTTAAAGTGTGATTCGAAGCCAAGTATACGACTATGCATACTGTGACTTACGAAAAACTCCAATTTTTAGTCACTAGGTTTGAATTTGATTGTTCACATTTCCCTTACCCTTTCAGTCAGTTCGTGATATACCTCTTTCTTCTCCTGATAGTAACTACTGAACGTTTCGAAGTGAAAATTAATTCTTTGGTTTATTAAATTAAGTATCTCTGCTAATAAATGCCAACTCGCATGAAAATTAGATCCACGGTTTCCTATCGTGGTCTACTTCCAATCACCCAACACTTCAATATGTTACGTTTGATAAAACTGTTTTATTTTTTCCTCAACTGATTTTCTCTGTTCATATCATTTGTATTTTTTTGCTTTGTATTCGCTGAATAAAAACACAAATAAAACTTTAGGACCACCGATCCCAGTCAGAGGTTATGATCAAACAGATATTGACTTAGTGAATCAAATAAGAATCTCATCTCGTCAATTGGATGTTACAACACCAGATCAATCGATTGATCATGATGTTGAATCACGTAGAGTTCTTACAGGTGAATCGTAATTTTTCTCTCTTTTTTTATTTGTTCTTATGAAATGTATTCTGATAAAAATAACTAACATGTCCTAACTAACAATCATCATCATTTGTTTAGGGAACTGATTCTTGAAGCCACATGAGTTAAATCGATTCCTTCATCTTCAAGTTGATTTGTCAGATAACAGGGCAATTAACAAATTGATGGAATAATCAGAATGGGGGTTTGTGGAGATTGCAGTAATTTTATTAGTTGAATTCATGGGTTGATCTAATCTAAACCACCATTGAAAACGGCCGTCCAGTGCTTCCAGGTTTTCAGTGGTGGTCTAGCTTAGATCGACTCATGATTGAATAATATTATCATAGGCAATCAAAGGTTTTATTCATAAAATAAGTAATGTTTCACAGATAGCTTGGCGCTCTAAGTAGACAAAATTCATGGCACTATAGGTATCTGATCGTAGTTCTTTGTGTATAGTGAAACTAAAAAGTGAACAATAATAACGTTAACTGTATGGTTTTATGTAAAAATAACAATTCAGTTGATACGGCTATAAATTTTAATCATCTGAGTTGGTTGAGGTATTTTTTCAGACAGGCTTTACACATTTCATACTCTGACCGTATTCACTGCTGACTGGCTTTAGAATAGGTTGGGAAGACGTATAAAGCGATCAGATCAAAATCACGGCATCAATTTATGAAGTTATTAATTCTCAGTCTTAAGTGTTTCGATGTATACAAACTAAAAGATCTTAGATATGGGGTGGTGCATGTTTTGTATATCAACAAGGTGTATCTACTCCCAGCACAATGGTAAGTTAGTGATTACAATCAAATATGATGCTTGATTCCAAGCTGATCTTAATATGTACACCTTTCGAACGTTTGTTACCAATTTCCCAGTCACTTCTTAGATTCCTCAACTACTCCTAGACCTCAGCTCCAAATAGTAGAGCGAAAGCTCGAAGTAAGAATGGAGGCTTTACTTCAGGGTTCATTTATGTACAGAAAACAATAGTCGTTATTGGTTTGTTTTATAACCATCAAACTCTGGATACGTGCTAAATTTAGTATTAACTTAATCAGTCATGCAATCAGTGTTCGATTTATAATCCATCAATTTTCTAGAAGTCTTTGCGGTGTATGCTGATTGGACGCATCGTTCTCAACCTTTTTATAGCTTCTAATGATCTATATCGAGGAATTCCTGTGAGATGACCCCAACATTTCTGTAGTATATTTATAATTTCCTATTTGGATTTCTACTTATTAATTTACTTATATATACCTTTTTCTCTCCCGTTCTATATGTTTACCGTTTTTCTTCTCTCAAATTAACATTGCTGTTGTCCATTCAATTCATTCAAATGATAATCATCATTTACTATTAGAAACAAATTATCGTCGTATAAATGTCTGTGAATCGTTGGCTAATTTATGTTCACCATTATTATGCAACAGTACAAAACATAATTATCATCAATGTTTTGATGATTCCGATGTGAGTTTATGATTGCTTTTAACAAATGAATCCAAAAAAAGAAAGAATTTAATAAGTGTATTAGTTCTAAGTATTAAAACACTTTTCATGTTGCTAGTTCTCAACAGATTTTTAAACTATTTATATCAACCTAACAATCTTGAAGAAATTTTAAGGAAGTAAATAGCTACTGACAAACGTGCACTTCATGATTAGTGTAAGTATGGTAATCAGTAAGTAATTCCTATAGTTTCTAAGTGACTTATATAGTGTAGAAACCTTTGGAAACGATGTCAAAATTAACACTTTTGTCGATATTATAATAATGTTAATAGTTGAGGTCATGAGTCTGGCTTCAAGAGGTATTTCCTGGAGTTGTAGTGAGCAGCAGTGACCAGCGGATTTTAACCAGGTCTGTTGTGAGATAGTAACTCATTGAAGAAAATGGTGGATGTGTCGCTTAATTTCGTGGACTAGTTGAATTCAGACATTAACACGATTGGATGCCGGCTCAGTGGTCTAGTGGTTAAGTGTTTGCGCGCGAGACCGATAGGTCCTGAGTTCAAGTCTCGCGAGGCGGTTTGGTGTATGCGCACTGCTGAGGAGTGCCACAATATGGTGAAACGGCCGTCTAGTGCTTCCAGGTTTTCCATGGTACTCTAGATTCAGTTAACTCGTGAGCTCAACTACTGGAAGTTACTTATTATTTCAACTAATCTGATTACAATAAATCAAAGATGCAACTACATTTTAAAGTTTAAACGGTAGATAGACTCATTCTTAGCATTATTTTTCTAAAAGTTCTCTTTTTTTCTCAAAGGAAATGATTAACTTTTGACTGCTTAATCGCTTACATAGTCATGTACATTGAACCATAGTTCCAATGTTTGTTGTATTTGTACATAAAATTGAATGTTATCTATCGTCTAACCAGTTAGATTATGCGCTCATTGTTCCAACTAAATTCTTTTCAAGATAAGCCTCATTATAAATTGTTATTTAATAGATCAATATAGGGAAAATATTTTGTTTGTTTCGTTCAACTTATCATTCTTCTGTCGAAGAACAGTTTTCCGTAAAATTAGTTCATTAATATTCAACTATTGATATGACGTTTTTTCAGAAAAGTGTGGAACAGTGACTTCATTTAGTTAACTGTATTGTATCATTAGCCCTTATACACGAACAATATGAATCAAACTATATAAACCTGTACTTGATAAATAAATCATAATTAATTCCTTTACACTTTATTTATTCATAGCATTGTTGATCACCTCGGTTACAAGTTACAGTTTAGTGTAAACTGTTTACAGAATGTAGTTTAAACTTTGTTTTTCTGCATTGTAGCTTTATAATAACTACAATACCACTGCTCAAGCACTTGAAGTGAAGTATATGATTTTCTTATGGAGTGGAACCTCAAAACTTTTGTTTTAAGGTTTTAACCTTATTGTAAAGGTGTTCCATGCCATCATGGCGATATCCATTTTCATGTTATTCTATGGACAAAGTCATAAAACCTATTAATCAATCCTTTAGGATCCTTTGTTTCATGGTATCTTTATCGATTTTATCTCTTTCTATCACTCATTCCTTTTTTCATTTATCCATATTTGTTTTCTGTTAAAGACTAATCAAGAATCTTCCGAATACGAACGTATTTATTCGATTACTTCCACGGAATCGACGGCAAGAAATATTGTTCAATTAGTTTCACCTGAAAAACAAAATAATGAAACAACCATCTCACATGATAACAATAAGCTTGAAAATTCTTATACAGAAATATCAAGTAAGTATATATATATATATATATATATCATTGACAGTGAATAAATTCTTGTAAACGTTTAATCGAAAGCGCAAATTATGTGAAATCACTTGTATATTTTCATATCCAAAGATGAAATCATACTGTCTACTGTAATTGAATGTTCTGCTAATAAATTGTTTCCCTTGAAAAACCAGTACCTCCAGCGATATTGCCTTCAAACAGATGGAAGAATGAGAACATCATGAAAAGTGTTTGTCATCCACACACACTTATTTTCAGCAACAATATGCAGTGTGAAATACAGTTTCGGAAGATCTGGAATAACATTTTATGAACTCGAACATTCAGTGCAGATGGTATTTGTGAAAGAAATCGAAGTTAGAAGAAGAGAGTTCTGTGCGGGAATCGTAAGAAACATTAGAGTTATGACAGTGGTATTCACTTGCTGGTTACTTATACTGTAGAAAGATACCCCTTGATGAACCGTACAATCATCACACCCGCGTGTAGTTGACAGTATGACAGCCCCTGGGACTTAGTTTTTCTGTTCTTAGTTTTACTTCTACCAATCAATCTGCATCGACTTTAAGGAAAGATTTTTTCAATCAATACTTTATCTCTTCCTTAATGTGATATATCAACATAGACTAACGTATATTTATATCAGTCTCTTTATTGGATATGACTGATTTATAACTGACAGACAAGAATGCTAACTCTATTGATCAAATTTTGTGAAAATGTCAATTTTTTGTGTGTATCATCCAGGTTCCATTGATGATTTAGCTACTTATTCTCAAGTGTATTATTCCACAGCGTGTGGATCAATTGATTATCCTATTGTAAAAACAACTGAATCATTCAATATGCACAATTCTTCATGTTCTCCAACAGTCTTCCATTCAAATTCACCTGACCAAAATACTGATAATAAATCTTATCCTTATGGTGATGATGTAATCATTAAAGAGTCTTGTCAACATAATGATTACACTACAAGTAATCATGCTAGTTTAAATGATAAAAATCAACCTATTTTAATTAGTAATCAGTCATTAACTCCATCGCTATTATCGGAAACAGTAGTTTATAGTGTAACGGAATTGCATCCATCTATATCATCTAATCTAAATGATAAAATGTTAGCTGAAATTCAAGCTTTTCGTCATATGGATAGTGAATGTAAGTTCATTGTTTTCTCTCTTATTATTATTATTATTATTATTATTATTATTATTATTATTCAACTTTATTAAATAGGTTTAAAACACAAAGTTCACTGAAGGGATCTCTTTTCAACGAATTGATTATCAAGCTGTACAATCGTATATATATGAAAACGATTTGTTAGAGTTCTAATTCCGTGAAGAAAGGTGAACACGAATAACTAAGATGATCTAATAGAAAGATTGGAGTACTAGATTACGTAATGCGAATAACAAGAACATTAGATTTAGTGAATATAATAAAATGAATTAAAATGTTTTTATCAGAATGGGTTTTGTGGAGATTTTTTAGAAATTTCACAGATTGAAATCATTGGTTGAAGTTAGACATTAACACCGTTGGATGCCGGCTCAGTGGTCTAGTGGTTAAGTGCTCGCGCGCGAAGCCAGTAGGTCCTGGGTTCGAGCCCCACGTGGTGCGGGATCGTGGATGCGCACTGCTGAGGGGTCCCATACAAGGACGAAACGGCCGTCCAGTGCTTCCAGGTTCTCAATGGTGGTCTAGCTTCAACTGACTCATGATTTCAATCTGTGAAAAATGTTTTTGTTTCAATAATTAAAGGTCATTAAAGATGTAAAAAGAAATATGGTGATATGATGAGTATTTATGAATAAAATAATGAAAATATAAGATATAAGTAAAGGGGAATGTTGTAATAATAATAATAATATTATTATTAAGGCCATGGTAACGATAACGATAAGACGTACTTCTTTTGTACGCGTAGTTCTGGTTTTAGCTCATGGATGGTAAGAGCTTCGGCTGTTTTTAGGAGTTGGATACGAAGAAATCTTGATAGATTTGAATGAATTATATATACGTAGGATGATTACAGTCGATTAGCTGTTCAAGTATAGAACTCCTAACTGCTTTCCTCTCACCCTTGTAGAACCAAACTGGGACGTATTCCCGTATCCGAGTTGAAAGCGAGCGTTGACTACGGCCAATGTGCCTTGCTCCACTATAATACATGAACAGGTAGAAGCACACGGAGGCAACCAGACGCAGAAGCTTATTTTTTATGGTTACAGAAAATAAGTTCTTACTAGTGAAGGCTATTCGCAGTTTAGCCGCATTAAATGTTCTTCTAATCGTTGTTGTTAGACGATTTTTGATTACGTCTGATGTTCGATCACCTTTAAATTCCAGACTTATATAAAGGTTTTTCTTCGGGATGGAACAATTAGATTTCTTGTCGTAACTACTTCCATTCATATTCTTTTCTATGTAACGTTCTAGGTAACCACTTTTCATCAAGGTTTTCTCGACGAATGCGAGTTCCTCGTTAATGCATTCCGTATTTCATATCCGATGTATTCGATAACAGCCTGCTAAAATTGGACCCACTGGAGACCCCATCGCGATCGCATCCCTTTGTCTATATATTTCATTGTTGAAACTGAACTGGACATTAAAAGTACAGCGTAACAATAGTTCTTTCAAGTGTTCAGTCGGCAAACCTAGATCTATGTTGTTAGAATCAACTGAGGAGATGATTCAATATGTGAATGTAAAATTGGTTGTTACTTCGTTGTGTAAATAACATTAATCGAACTCTACAAATCAATTTGTAATGTGGTCTACTAATTGAAGTGACTAGACATCACAAACTCTATGTTCAGTGTTAGGTAGCTGGATGTAATTGATAGGAAACTTGGAACAATAACACGTTGCATACCTGTGTATTTGTATGAAGATACAAAAAATTATAACTAGATCTTTATTGACTTGTCAGTTTCATAAGTAGATTGTTAACGTCATACCAGCATTGACTCGACATTGTTTTGTCGAATCTTTTTTAAAGAAGACAGATTAGTTCAGCGAAAAGTTTTCTATTCGGTGAATTCATTTTCATAGCTGTACAATCTCAATATATATACTTAAATAAGAACTTTCATCTAAATGTAATCGAATAGTTTCAGAGTATTTAGGCGCCGAGTTGATGTGAGAAATTATAGAGAAAGAATGTATTTGTAAAATCTTAGCGAATGAAGTTGAAGTAAATCCAACGCTACGCCTAGCAATCTGGTTCAAGCTTTTTCAAGGAAATATAATCAAACATCAAAGTTATCAAATATAAACAGGTACATGGTTCTCCGGTTGACTGTATACTGAATAGGTCATCCAATCAATCAATATATATACCCCTTTTTTTCCAGGACGATAATAATTACAATAATATTCTTAATAAACTTCTGTTAGACATGGTGACAGTGAGGTAAAATAAACATAGGTATTAAAAAAAAATTAAAACAGGGAAACTAATAATCGTTTGATTGTTATTGACTTAAATATTCATCAAAAGATAGATAGGAAAATTATCATTGGGAAAGGATGGCTCAGCATGATAAGATTAAATGTAATCAGGAGGATTGTAGAAACAGAAATAAACCAGTTGGGGGTAGAAGGTTTAAGGAGAAGATGAAGGGGAAGCAGATGGCTATAAAGGAAGAAGAGTATGAAGAAAAAAATTACAAGACATTAAGATCATAGTAGAAGAAGTTGTACCAATCTCTTTTGAACACACAATTCTGGTTTTCCCAGATGTATGGCTATTGCCTCGGCAATGCAAAGGAGATGTAGTCTAATTGTCTTAGGAAGGTTTCTACTTACCTTGTATATGACTTTGAACGCAGAGTCTGTCTTGATTGAGTGACCTGTGTTCACAAGGTGCTCGTTTATTGAACTTTTTATTGAGCCGTTTCCTCCTCTTCTTGGCCACGCCGAATAATGTTCTTGAGTTCTTTTGGATAAAGTACGCATCGAACTACCTATATACCTAGCTCCACATGAGCAGGTAAATTCATTTTCATCTTTAATATAAATCCTGATATATGTTTATGTATGTTTTACGTAAAGCTTCATCAATACCCAAACAAATGTTGAACTAGTGAATCTGAATTTTACACTTATTCTCTCTGACATAAATCACTTATGATAAAATGTTAGAACCCACGACTTTCTACCGATTTTCTTCAATTATGTCATACTTAGTCAATTACGCCAAATTTATTGTACATGATCTAGGCATCAGATCGACTTATTTTAGGGTTAAATAGTGTATTTGTGGTTGTGTGCATTGTAATAATATAGAAGACTCTGTGTCTATGGCTCTAGTTTTCGTGTACTCAGCTTGGCGTCTGTTACGATCCACTGTGCTCGATTTATCTACAAGATACACACGTTCCCTACACCCTTGCCTAATCAACAGTAGGGATGAGTAGACTGAGAAATGACTAGGAAGCATCAGTTCGAAAAACTGTAAGATGTGCATAAATCATAAGTATTTACACATTTTTCCTTCCTAAACAAAATATTCGTATATGGACCGCACATTGACCAATTGTATAATAAACTCTCTCTAATACTTTAATTCGTCTATAATTTCTCACCCACTTTTTGACTTTTTAATGCTATGTGAACTGTCTAACTTTTACACAACAAGCTCCTGATATATTTAAACTTATTCAGACTATCAGTCACACATTTCATACGACAATGAGTGTTAATGATATTCTATTTACAAAGCTACTTAAACCAAAGTAGATGGGGTATTTTGTTTGAACCTGTTACGTAACAATTACATGTTGACCGTTCTAGTCTATGAACCACCTTGCTTCGCACTAATTAGATCATACTTTTCAATTTTCTGTATACAGTTAAGTGATGTATATTTCAATTGTCTTCTGTTCAATTAAATGTTTTCATAGGTAAATAGTCTCCAATTTTCCACAGTTTTGTTTATCATATCGTTTGGTTTGGAGAAAAATCATCTACACAAATCACTTATCCTTTTTTTAAATATTCTATTACAGTGGATCTTACTCAATCTACCAAATATTTTATGGCGAATAATTCACAAACTGAAACACGTCGTTTATCAGATTCATTCATGGTAAGTGTATTAAATATTTTGCTATGTGAATTTTTTGTACACCACAGTCTAGTTTGTCAACCAGATGGAAACATTAAGTTTACCAGCTATTAACTCGTTAGTAACGCAAGCTGAAAGTTCCGGATTCAATACGTGAGATGATTGACATCGTACACAATCAAGGAATTCCATATAATAATGAGATAGCTGTTCCCTAATCATTGCCAATCTGTAAAAAATTCCGCATACTTTTCTCGACTAACCGATAATTCGATGGATATTCTGTTGATTTGTTTGTGAATAATATGTTTAAAAGTGGGATTACAGTCTACTGACTGTGAATCCCTTTTAAATGATCTGCTCAAATTATGTATTTGTTTTATTCTAACGTATAAACGATTGCAAATTTTTGAAGACAATCTGCATGAATCCTTATGTAACTAGGTTTTATGTTAATTGCCACTCGACAGATAAGAGTTTATGTATAATTTTCAAAGGATATAATACTCTCTCTTGCTCTTCTTGCAGCAATAAATCACAGATTCCCTAGTGTCTACTTTTTGAACTGTATTGTAAATGAAGTCCAAGGCCAAAGCGTTTATACTAATTGTTGAGGACTATCAAATATCATGATATCTATGTCCTCACAGCATCTTTAATACTAATTTCAACCACTTAACGATATAATGCTCTTATCGAATTAAATCACAAATTGAATAGTCTGAGAAAATGAAAGAATCTACTAATTTATGCTACACAATCTCATAACTCCTTTTTAGGTGTTTGTCAACCTTCACCTCAAAATATTCTTCCTTTGGAAATGGGAATGTTTAAAGTTCTAGGCTGGAACTTTCCAAAAGTACCACACCAAATCTACACGGGATCTAACTAGTCTTTTATGGTGCATTTAGATTAATAGCACAAATTTTCAACTTGAGTCGATGACTATCCAAAATCATCAGTTCACTAAATACTCAACCTAAGGTCATAAAAACTGTTTTGCAAAATTTAAGGTGCACAAATAGATTTTCTTCTTTTTAAAATACTTCTCGTTTATGGTGGTCGACGTATCGCATTTTTATAGCATAAAACCTCCCTCAGATATCAATGTCTTCAATTGTTCTAAACATTTCGCTAGAATCATATAAACAAGCGATTTTCCAAAAGTCAATTCATTATCAGTTAACTAAGCAAACTAGTTGAAGATTGAAAAGCGCAATACCTTATCTTCATTAATAATAATCATAGCAATTTCAGTATGTACACTTATCGGGCAAATAATCTGGTTGATTTTTATCACTGATCCTGATGCCCTTTTATCGTAATTTAGGAAATCCATTCTGAAGCTGGTGAATACCAACGAACACATAACAACATTTAATCATGTATTTTGGATTAAACCCTTTGAATGATTAAAGGTGTTGTGACATGTAGTGTCTTATTTTGACACCGATATCCAACCTTTCTATACATGAGCCAAATCGGCGACTTCAGTTAAAAAACTGGGGACGAGAAGGAAGTTTAACAAGTAAAGTGAATCGGAAATATATCTATATTCGTTCATATATATAGATCTATATATCTGTCACGTAGAAAATTAAGCAAACTATAATGATTGTCATTCTTCAGAAATCAAAGTCATTTCTCAGACAATCACGTGTACTTATCTGTTGACCGATTTCTGAATCATCTAATTTCTCAAAAATAATGAATTTCTTAAATTACTCTACTTTATAGTTTTGTTATGTACTTTAGTAATCAAATTTACTTGTTCCAACTTGATCTGCTTCTCTCTGTCTAAAACATTCACAGAATGAAAGTGAAGAGGAACAGAAGACTACGGGTAGCACATTACAAGTTGTAACACAGTCATTATATAACCAAAATCAACGTGAAGACACTGGACTAATGACTCCATTAATGGAACGTTCAACAGAAGATTGTTCACGACTGTCAACAATTCATCGAACTTATTCAAAAGCGATTAAATTTGATGGTCAATCGTCTTCATCATTATCACACTCAACAATTTTATCACCATCTTCTTTATCATTATGTAGTAAATCAATTAAATCACCGGCAAATTATTCAATATCTGATTTCCCTTCTTCTGCACCTCCCATTGTTGTAACAGTCAGTGGTAATTGTAATGTTGCTCCATTTGCACGTGCTGAATTCTCTTTCATCTCTGATCCTTCAGCCTATGATGATATTGACAATCTTTAATTGATATATAAAACTACTATAATGTATTACTCTAACAGCACCATCACCATTACTACTAAGTTGTAATAATAAGAGTAGTATATGTGTCATTGATCGAAATCTTTTGAATGACATTTCTATTTTATTGTAAATAATCACCTTTATTTATATTTTCACAATCAATCAATCAATCAATCAGAAATTCATTGCACAATAGTTCCACAAGAATGTTGATCGCATTTAAATTGAAAGAAAAGATTGTTTGTTTGTTTATTTATAAAACACAATTCTACTTTTTATAAAAAATTGAACTTTACCCTGATTTTTCAAAGAAAAAATAAACAAACAACTAGTTTACTCATTTAGTTATCAGTTAGATAATTTTACGATTAAGCAAGGAAGCTAGTTTGTGTATGCGTGTGTGTGTGTATGCGTGTGCTTTTTTTGGATGGGAGGGGGACAGGAGGGTCCTCTCATTCAAATCTCTTCTAACAATTAATAATCTAATTATCAGTTGTTGTTTTTTTTCTTTGTAAAATGAGAATGATTTAACTGTCGAATATAATCCAATAAATTTTGATCATTAGATCGTCATATTCAGTGAATTCAACGTTATCTAGTTAAGATAAATGTGTTGGTTATTCTTACCGGTGATAATCTTTTAAGCAATGAACTTTGTCAGATTTGGTATCTATGATATAGAAGATAAGGAAGTTCTGCTTTTATCACTGTCTCGCTCTCTCTCTCTCTCTCGTTCCGAACATTCCTATGTATACTATTGCTGTGAGTTGGATTTGTTTACGTATATACATATTCATTCACATCAATCTTATCTTTGTGTGTGTGTGTGTGTATGTGTGTATGTTGTCACGCATTTGCTTATTTTCATAATAACATTTTGTTATCTTTAGTATCATGAATAATTTTCTGTTTACTTATTTACCGGAGATTTGATTCTTTCTATTCATATTGTCCCCGTGTGGATAATTGATTCGAATTATCTCTACAATATAGTTTTTTTTCTTTTGTAACTGTTATCCATTACTTACCTAATAGTGTTGTTAGTAGTGAAGTTTTCTTATTCGGTTTCATATCATGTGTTTGTGCCATTTTTGGCTTTATCCTACTTAAGAATGATTTCATTATCTTAATAATTTTATTGTATGTATTCACATCTTATAGTTAACGTCTATATATTTTTGTTGTCTATCTGTATACGTGTTATTTGTTTGTATTTTAATAATCTTTTTTTAAATAAAAAGGCTGATTAATTCACAATTGATTAATCACTGGGTGGTGATCAATGTCATGTGTGTCAAGTCCTTCTTAGTGATAACGTCTCTGACTATGAAGCTGGATGACACGGGGTCGAACCCGTCAGGAGGGGGTGGCATCATTCCCCTCAACATTACAGGTACACCTTGCTGACGAGTGCCAAATGGCACCAAACCCGGGTTTCATGCTGACTAACTCCAACCACCATTCTAAGGCTGATTAGTTTTGTGTATGTTTCATTTCAGAATGATCATTATCCCTATTTGTATCTGACATGAAAGTATATTAAACGATAAAACTTGTAAGAGAATAGTCAGAAAAATATTATGAGTCGATCAGAGAACAATGCCTAGTTACTCAATGTTCTAGAGTTTAAGTATTCTCGCGAGATCGAAGGTTCTGCTTTCGGAATTGTGAAGGCACACTGCTGAAAACTCTCAAATGTCAAAAATCTTGATTAAAAGCAATTACCTAGTGGATTTCAATGGCTACCCTACGGTTAATTCTACTTACGGATAATTGGAAATTTTCTAATACAAATGAGACAGACATTAATATAGAGTCTGGGATATATGTGCGTTAGCTCAAGCTGTTATGTCTGATTAGCACAACGAAATGAAAATAACATAAGCGATTTAAATAATGCAGTAGCAGTGATCAAAAGAACATAAGATCTTGAAAATATGCTTTCAAAAGACAGAAAGGTATGTATGAAGTAATATTAAGATTGAAGATCGCGAAGATAAACAGTGAAGTGTCTGCAACATTATGAACGATTCTGAACCACTCCATCCAAAATCTTCAGTTACTGCCTTCGGTTATCATCAAACAAGTTCTCATTACGAATTGACATCAGTTTGATTATCATTAAGAACCGGGTAAAATTGGATAACTGTTTCGTCTTAATATGAGATCTGGCGATACACTGGATGCGAAAAAGACAAAACTGATAACCAAGTATCTTCTAATAAAACGACAATCAAAGAAGAAGACAGTGATAGTTGGGAAGAAAAATGTATTTGATTGTAGGTAGAGGTAGGGTAAAACGAGAATTGTAAACTAGCTACTTAGAGTAGCAGAAGCGTTTCATGTTAAGTTGTGGGATGATCTGATGGTTATCTTTAACGGAGCTTCCTCATCTAGTTGACGTATAATAAAATTAACAAAGTCAACATCAATGTGGAACCCTTCAAAAATTATTATTTACTTCTACATACTATCATTGCATAAACTCCACTACCTAACTATAGAATCCGGGATCTATAAGCCTTATAAAACCATCATTACCATTACATTGATCAGTCCAATTCCCCTGATCTACACATTCAGATCCAATCGATTCGCGATATTCTTCAACTGGTCTAACTGAATTCCAACATTCTTGATTTCTCAGCAACATATTCAGTAATTAAATCCCAAAGATAGTTACTATTGAGTAACTATTATTGAAATAAAAAGTTTACAAAGATTATTCAAAACTAAGACAGTTGGCATCATGGATAGACAGACTGAAACGAAACAACCATTGGAAAAAAGGAAGATTTTGACCCTTGTTTTTTTGAAGAATCGTTAAATAAAATTTTATTATTCTGTCAAATAACTAGATCACTTAGTTGTTTTTCTTTTATGTTTAAAAATGTGTCAAATATATTCAATATGCAAATTTTGCTACTTCATTATTGGTTGTTTGAATCTTCCTATTTGTATCATGGACTGCGATTAATCAGTTTCTGTTTGGCGTATGTTCCATCCTGTACGAATTGCCTCGATATTGCCCTAACTCATCAGTATTATAAGCGAAGATGGGTGGTGGTTAACAGTGCATTTCGTCTGTCCTAAAGACGATCACATCATGATGATGTGACTGTTACTAAAAACCAGTACTGACAGTCTAAATGTATCGTGTCCTCAAACGCACCTTAAAAGCTAATAATTAAATTTGTGATAAAATTGTAAATGATCCATAAAGTAAAGTGGCAACTGTTCAGTTCTCCTTGATCTTTCGAATTATACTTCAGCAGAGAAACAATTAAATTAAAGATAGTGATTCTTTAATTTTTGCGCGAAATTAAAATACAATAATGACTATTTCATTTATTTAAACACATAAATATTGGTACAAAGAAGCAGCAAATACATATACACGACACAAATCATTGGATTTTTGTGAAAGCTGGAATACTTCCAGGCTTCCCAGAAACGAGGCAGGCGATTTTCTTAGGAGGTTACACCCGGAACCTTCGACCTAAAGATCTGATTAACAAGGCAATGAAGCAGCGTCAGGAGATGCAGTCCCATGGTAGCTGGTGACCAATAGGTAGTTCGTACGCCATTTGTTCCCTCACGATCCTGGAGCCCATGTGCACTATTGGTTTGGAATCAGGATTTACCAATTTCCTTAGTTGGATCCTCCTTACCCGTCAACAGGTTAGAGCGCCAGACATTCGCTTTTCGTTCTCTCAAGTTTGTAAATGACACCAGAAGGTAGTGAATAGGAATTTCCTGAAAGTGGCTGTGTATGCGTGGTCGTGTAAGAGCATTTGGAGAGGGAGAGCTGACTCTCCCTACCCTCGGCCGTACCAGGGCATTTGGGGGCATAATAATAACTATCTTAGTCTTTATTAGACGCTAAACAAAACTTACACATATTTAGGTCTTAAAATCTATGATACTGACAAAAACCGCTGTTGTATTACTATAAAGTAGATATAACGTAGTGTGAAAACTAGGTAGCAGTGGAATCCATTCATCTCTGTTTATAACGCTTAAGACTTAAGGCAATATCGAGGCAATGCGTACAACATTCACATATGCCAATATAAGACTGGTCAATTGCAGTTTTAAATATCAATGGGAAGATTAAAACAACCACTAAAAAATGAATCAAATTCCACCCCATCATGCAAGCTAATGGCCATCTTAACTCAGTAGCTAAGTTAATAAGACGATGGCATCTGAAGACAACGGTAATGTGTTTGAGTCCCGGTGCAGACGTCAACTCTGGGAAGCAAACACATCCATCTGACGAGTCCAAAATAAGACGAAACTTGCATCCTGGATTCCACTGCTAGTCACAATCCATTTCTACTTATAAAATTTAAATGAATTTTCACCAAATATTTACTCCATTACATGTTGAAGGTCAATGAATAGCCAATCAGATTTCATTCAATGTTAAATGTAAAGTTGATTAGAATTTAGAATCTTACATGTTGATTAATGTAAAATCAATTGTTTACAAAAAGATATTACTGAATTATCAATAATCTATCCAATCAAATATAAATATACAGATTGAAATCATGAGTCAATTGAAGCTAGACCACCATGGAAAACCTGGAAGCAGTGGACGGCCGTTTAGCCACGTAGAAGTGGCATAAACAGGTAACTTATCCTTCAGTTGGGGAGTCACCATAGATCGGGTCGAATACGATAGACAGATGCTGGCAGGATTAAACGTTCTCTTTACTGCTCTAGTCAGTCTATCATGTAATACATCACTAGCTATATCACCATATTACTGTATATTAGAGTAAAGCTTGATGAAGATCTAATCGAAAACAATATTGTTCGTTCATATATGTTGTTCTAATTTATAATATGGGAATATTTTAAATCTATATTACTGTCAATTATGTAAGAGGAAGTAAGATGTAATTGCCTGTCTAATGGATAAACTAAATGAATATGTCAATCAAATAGAAAATTCATAGAATGACTTATTTTGAGTATGAATTTGTATATAT